TCTCTCTTTTTCTCTCAAAATTCATTATCGAATTTATATACATATCATTTGCACTGATTGTTAAACGTTAATTTGCAACATATCGCCTGAGATTGAATAATCTGAATGCCTAGAGGGCTTTCACTATACATGGATAAGTCGCTTCAGGAAACAGAATGAAGGATGTAAAGATATAATTTCCAATATGCAATGTGCATAATATATTAGTTTAAACATTAATTTAAAATTTGAATATTACGTGCAATACGTAATTACTTGTTTTGCCTCGTTGTAATATTACACTTTTTCAAACGTATTGCGACATGGAAATTAACGAGATGAGACAAAAACAATAAAGATTATTGCATTAATGTAAAATATGTGTCTGTATCTTATGGAAAATTGCAATAAAGGAGAAATAGATTGGAACATGAACGTAGCAGGGAGATTTAAAAATTCAGTCCCAACTCCAAAATTTTCTGTTCATACATTTTTCATTTTTAATTATAAAAAAAAATATAATTTTACTTTTTTGACTTCGAATAAAGTTTTTGTTGTCACATAAAATATTTTTTCTCTTTGTTATATCGACTATATAATTTATGGAATTTCCGGTTTTACATACGATCATAATTTGAAAGATCTAATGAAACACAAAATGTCGAGCTTTTTATTCTGACGCCGGGTATCGATAGATTATATAAATATTTTTATTCGCGTGTTAAAAAAGTGCATTGTGTGTTCGTTTAAATTGAGCGGACGCAATACCTCGAGCAATTAATTATCGTAGTGTCATATCATCGGATATGATGTACGAATGAACTATCGCGTCCCGTTACCTGAAAGGGTTGGTCGTTTACCTAGTGCGCTATAAACCTGATACGTTGACGCAAATAGCCGATTCGCACGTCAAGTGCAACGTCATTTTACGTTCATTTATTCAAATGATTCTTGTCAAACATTATTAAGTGGCTATCATGTGCAATTTTCAAGTTATGATACCTATAAATTTTCGCTATGAACGCAAAAAATTGTAATTTGTAAAACAACACGTGCGTTGTACTTGTCGCAAAAATTGCTGTACCATATATGTGGTAATAAAATTGATGAAACCCCCTCCCTTAAAAAAAGTTGGATACGCTTATTTTTCGGATGACTTAATGATCCGAAACAGAACATCAAGCTTTCTTTATTGTGACGCCAGATTTCAATATTATATAAATATTTTTATGCGCATCTTAGAGTTTAATTGACACTATAAAATAAAATACGTTAAAAAATAAAATAAAATAAATTATAAAAAAATTATAATACACGTATTTTTGTGTAAATTAGACTTGTAAAATACATTTTGAGATTATAACGATTATTAACACGTTTTTATTTGAGTCATCACTTAATTTTCGAGAAATACTTATTTAGGGAATGTGTAAATATTATCAATAAAATAGATATAACAGTTGTAACTCTTCTTCTCTTTTGAAAAATCAAAGAATGAGATATAATATATAAAAAATATATTATTATTTTATGCTTTTTTGTCTTTATATTAGTCAATGATAATATATGCAAAGATTTTTCTACATTATTATATTGTGAAATGTTTCATAAAAGTTACATATCATTCAGATATGGTTTACATAAACTCTTGTTTTTTTCATTGAAATTATTGTATCAACCGGGCTCAATTCAAGTCGATTCTTATCAATCGTTTATTATTAATCTCAATTTGATGTATAAGTAAATGATAACCATTTTTACAACGCAATTTCTTTTATATCGAACTGCGTGACGTGTTTATAACTGCAGATTTATTAATATGTAAATTTTGAAACATATCAATCATATATTATTAATCTCAATTTGATATCGATAAATAATAATTTTTTTTACAACGCAATTTATTTTATTTTAAGCTATTTAACGGGTGTTTGTAGCTATACAGATCGATTAACATATAAATTTTGAGATATCAAGATATTTTAATTATAGTCAGTAATTATCGAATTATTTGTAATTATAATTAATAATTTAGTTTTTTAAATTATCATAACTTTATGTATACATATACATAATACATATATCGTTAAACTTAAATCATCTGTGATCATTAAAACGCAAAATTTCCGATTGATATTTATTTAATTACTTTAAAGAAAAATTAATTTATAACATTTGTATGAAATAAAAATTTTGGAACATATATTTTGTATAAAATAAAAATTATACGTATCTAATATAATGTATTTATATATATATATATATATATGTTCGTAAATTAAAATTGTATATAATACCCTAATGTATTCAAAATCACGAATAAGTAATATTTAAAAAAATATTGTCAAATTTGATATCAATAAAGCTTACATTTCGCATTAAGATATTAATATAAAATATTAAGATAAATAAGAATATACATATATAAAATATATATATGTATATATCTATTAAGTTATTTTAAATAACACCAAATAAGTTCTTTTTTTATTTCTTTAAATTTACAATACTAACAAGACGCCTGAAAACTATCTATTTAATTTTATTTTTTCGATTGCTTAAAACATTTATGAAAATATTTCGGGATGTATAATTGCGGAAACAAAAAAAGTGGAGAAATAATTTTATCTCTTTCTTTGATCTTTCATTATAATTATTATCTTTAATTTTTAGTTTCAATTATTTTCTTAATTTAAAGCTATATCCGGAAATTAAACTTTTGCGCGTTAGGAAATAGGAATAGTTATGTACCTACATAAAATCTTGCACTTGATTCTCGTTAGCATGTATGAATACCATCCTGAGAAAGATGCAAATGTGGATGAGTTTTCGTGATGGTCGCATCTGAATCTGCTACTTGAGTGTCTCCAACGCGCACTAGCGAGCAAAAATCGGCTTGAAGCAAGATTACATGCGGAGTTGCGCGACGCATGTCCGATCAGATAGTCGGCTATACCACTTATGCGGAGTTTAAGTGACACTTTGCTCAGAATAAAATGCACGTGTACGATACCGATCGTATTGATTGTTTGCTTTACTTTTTTTGCGACTTAAATCATAAACGATTATTTGTTTTGATTATTTCCGCATGATTTCATTATAGCGTATGTAAATTCAGTTTTTAAATTAATTATTATTAATTAATGTGTGATTCTGTTAAATTGAAATATAAAATGAAATATAAAATTGGAGTATATTTAAACCTTTTCTTCAACTTTTTATTTCTAAAAATCTAAAATTCTTTTAAATAACCCTGCTGAAGCTGATTAAATAGAAATTAAATAAATATATATATTTATTATCACATCTGTTTATTATGTTTATTATATGTATAAAATGTTTTGTATTCTCTGTCAGGAGTTTGATGATGATATGCTCATTATAGTCAAAATGTTTATGTAAAGTAAATTTAGAATTATTTATGTGAATTCTAATACGATATAATTAATGGCTTCATAATAAAATCGTCTAATATTATTTGCGTCGATGGACCTTGCGTTACAATCACTATATTTAGATTTGACTAATCTGCAGTATTTTACAATCTTTTGACAAGTACGTATTTATGTTGTATTAGTTATATTTGTATTTCGCGATGGAACGAGATAAGCGATCATGCAAAAGCGAGTTAGAGGCGTTAGCTTGAATAAAATATTCAGAGATGCAGCTTGTCCCAGCAAACAGTTATGAGGAATGTACTAATGAATGAAGTATGAGTAACGAAGGAAAACACAGCGAGAATTATTTACACGTGGCATGTACGTGGCCGCGAATCGATTTCTTCACGAAAAACATACATATAGGTAATCGATGTAATGCCAAATAATTGAGACGCCACATGGACCATTCACTAAATATAATAGAAAAGCACGTTCATAATGATTATCTATTCTCAGTTCGTATAAATGTCGATCATGCAGTCTGTGCTTCAACAGTTAAAAAAATTTTTTATATTATCTAATATGCGCTTGACAATTAGTGTGTTAAATTTCCTTTAGTCAATTAATTCGGCTGATCGTTAAATTAATTGAAGTGTGCCATGACAAAACATTGTAAGTACTAAAATTGTGAAAAATGCATTTTATTATATGAAGGTGTTGTAAGTGCTGTATCATATATATTAATATTTAACGTAGGAAGTACTGCTACAAACGAAGAAAAATGGATAACGCAACATAACATATTATACGTCTATTGGCATTTTTACTTAAACTTATATTTTGACTTCTATGTTTACTTAGGCTTACAGTGATTTGAAATTTTAATAATTTTAATACTTTTTTAAAATTAGAATTACTCAATTAAAAATTTCTACAGAAACTATTCGTATTTTTAGAAAGTATAATAGAATCGTATAAGACAAAATTTATAATATAAGTGCGTTGTTTTTAATTTTTTGTGAATAAATTAAATATAATTCTATTTATAATAATTTAATTCGTATTACTTAATAAAATAGTGTTTAAATTAATCTTAATTTAGTTAAAATTGCTCTTATTTTCTAGAAAAAGTTTAATTTATTCCTTACATATTACAGTATAAGAAATTATGCGAAACTTATTCTCCATATACGTTAAAATAAATATTTTTTGTATGATGCTATTCATGCTAGACATAGATGGTAAAATATTTTGGAAATTTACTCTTTTCATATTTTGCATTGGTACATGCATAATTTATCGCCTCATAGTTCAATATAAATAAAAAACGAACAAATAAATACCTATAATTGTCGACTATGTGCTCATAATAAAAATAAAAATCAAAATAAATATTCTTGACATTATATATCTTATTGATCTATACAAATGTACAAGACAGTACAAGAAAAATTAATTTGACGTATATGATATATAGAAAAAAATTCATGACTTTTCATTTCTGATATAACTTGATAGAAATGGAGCAGAAACCTCAACATTAATGAAATCAAGGGAAATACACGATTTATTTGGTAATTTAAATTCTATTCATATCCATTTGTATATATATAATTTATTTAATTCTATTCATATCTCCATTTGTGTATCATTTACTCTTCATTAGTATTCATTTACGCTTCATTAGTATTCATTTATACACAATAAAAGTAATATATCGTACAAGGTGTATTGTTCTACCATATGGCACGTTGCACTCCAGCCATTTTATTGTAATCGACTAGATGACGAAAGATGAATCGTGATATTCTCCATCGTTGTACCGTACCTCGACCTCGAGATGTTACAACACATCTTGGTGTCAATTGTCTCAAAGCAGTCTGTCTAGGAATTGTTTCATCTATTTGTTTGCCAACGAGTTCCTAAAAAATTATTATATAGTTTGAGTTATAATCATATTATTATACTAAGACACTCTAGCTCTCTCTTAAGAAATGACAAAATTAAAAAATGTGGTTTTTTATTATTATTACTATGTAATCATTCAAAATAATGTTCACTTAATTTATTAATTAAATGAACATTATTTTATCAATCATTAAAAATAAATTAACTTAACTTTTTGATTAAAAAGTCATTGAAATTATCAATTATGTAAAAAGGATAATTTCTTTTATAGACTATAAAAGAAAAATGATAAAAAATACGTTTCATCATGTTAAGAATATATTCTTTTGTCGATATTATTTGATTAATTAATAATTTTCTGATAATTAAGTAAGAGTAACTTTTGTAAAGCTTTCTTTTGAAAAAAATTATATGCACAAATAAGAAATACATAATAATAACATAAAAAAGATAATGCTTTGTTTAAATAGCACAGAATTATTTAAGTACAGTGTATATATAAAAATGTATCAATGGACAGTGATACAACGTAAGAAAATTTTTACGTCATCAATATTATATTCCCTGTGTAATTAGAACAAGATTTATTATTTTACAAGTGAAATTGTCACTTACTTTTAGCTCAATTGGCAAAATATCATTGCGCTTCATAGCAACCAGTCGCAACCTTTCCTCGGCATACTCTTTAGCCCATCTTCTACGTTTCTGGTCGCGCAGCACTCTGCAGCCGACATAGTTTCGTATTTCTTGTAGCTGTACAGAGAAAGTACGATGTAATTAGATATAAAGATACACGGCTCATATTAATTAATCATATTGATTTCAAATACAATAGTATCATGACTTGATCAGCTGTTTCTCTCAATAAATGTAGTGACATAAATCTACATTCCCAATAAATTTATATAGATGTATAGTTACAGATCATAAAAAAATATATCGTTCAAACAAATACTTACGCCGTATCCCAATAAATTTGGATTGCACTGCAGAAGACTACGATTAAAAATGTGAAAGCCACAAATCATCGTCGCCATGTTTACAGCTGATTGAGCTGTTTGTTTCACTATCGCACGTGTCAGTACGTGTCAAGAAGAATCCCTACTAATCCCTAGATATAAAGATGTTTTTTCGTGCTAACGCTCGAAACTCATTTAACAGATCAGGTGATTGATATTTAATATTCGTTAATTTTTATCATGTGATCTGTTTTGATGCTAAAAATGAAAGTACATTCAGATGCGTCAGGCTGAGTCCATAATCTCTCTTCAGGTTGAGTCCACAACCTCGCTTTGTCGCTTTAAAAGGTCCTAATGCTGGATTCACACTACATCCAATTTTCGTCGTACTCTGCAACCAATCAGAAAACAAAATATTTGCTTTATCTGGATGATACGATTTTTCTGATTGGTTGCAGAGTCGTCGTACGACGAAAATCGGATGCAGTGTGAATCCAGCATAAGCCGTAAAGCCATAAGAAATTGACCAATCATAGTTGAATGCGAGAAAAATAATCGACTGTGATTGGTCAATTTCTTACGGCTTTAGGGTGCCAGCACATGCGGCGTAAAGGTTGATTTAGGCCGATATTTCATGTGTCGTACGACAAGGCTTTTCAAGCCTGTTTATTGGCTGTAAAACAGAGAGATTTTCGGATCTCTCTGTCCTATAGCCAATCAACGTGCTTGAAAAGCCTTGTCGTACGACACATGAAATATCGGCCTTATACTGCCGTAAATTGTTAACTTATGCCGTAATCTGTAAAAATTGACCAATCACAGTCGAATGAGAGGGGAATAATCGATTATAATTGGTCAATTTTTACAGATTACAGCATAAGTTAACAGTTTACGGCCAGTATAAATCAACCTTAACTTGCGTAAGCGTAACTTGCGCTGACCAATCATATCGTTTCATATGAACATCAATTTCTGCCTAGTTAAAGGAGCCTACAGACCAGAGCGGCGCAGCGGTGAAGCGGCGAGCGATAGCCAATGAGAGCCATGCTTTTACGCAAAATCATGGCTCTCATTGGCTATCGCT